TATTTGTCAACCTAATTTTAGAAGTAAATTTCTAGAGATAATAATCACAAAATTTCCCTTGTCCTGCCATTTCCAAAATGTGGTCTGCCTTTTTTGTGCTTTCAATATTGCCCGAGATATGAAGAATTTCGTTCAGATTTCGACAATTTTGCTTTTATTTAACAAAATTGAAATCTGAACCAAACTCTTTATATCTCCGGTAATATTGAAAGCTCAAAAAATGCAGACCACTTTTTGGAAATGCCAGGGCTAGGAGAATTATGTGATAATTGTTTCAAGAATCATAAATGTTAAAGTAGATAGAAGACTAAATGTCACAAATAAATTCATATATCAAAGACGACTTTTAAGTCGTCTTGCTATTGTCATGTTTCGTGGGACACCCTGTATGATTCCAACTAATGTGTATTTTGATATCTATGTTACAGATTAAGTCTGATTATACATATTTGAAAGATTTATCTGCTGTGCTCTTATTCTGTCAAAGCTGTCTCGTTCTTGTGTTTATAACTCATCTCTACATTAACATCAGATAAACAGCAAAGAGTAGGATCGTTTTCAACTCCTCCTGGTGTAATATAATCTGGAGTATTCTCTAAATCCAAAAACTGCCAGAAGAACAATGATAATATGACTGCTATGTGCGACATCATAGTTCTTTGTGTTTTCTGAGACTGATGATCCTTGCTCGATTCCTGTTCCGATCCGTCTTCTCCAAAACCAGTCCTAAGACGTCCACATAAGTTCTAATTTAAATCGTTGATATAACTACCAGTAGATCAATCTGAAAACAGCTCTGCTATGACTATTATACTTCCTCTTGGAATCAATTGAATTGATTGTTATAATTTGCATGCTCAACCTGTTACATTTTCAGCGGTAAAATAAATTATTAAATTAGATTAGATTAGATGTCGTAGACCTTAGATATTTCAAACTATTACTTCTGGTAGAACAAATAATCTAGGTTTGAAACATCAATCATATGGTCGTAAAAATACAGGGATTAGAAAATTTGAGTTTGTGACAAAGACTCAATTTCTTTCCAATTGCTGCAACCATATCTCTAGCTTTGGAATTAGTTCAATTGTTCTGTGTTCTGCACAGGATAGATATAAGTATCAATGCTTGATCTCGAGATTCCCAACACAAGATAGATATAAGTATTAATGCTTGATCTCGAGATTCCCAACACAAGATAGATATAAGTATCAATACTTGATCTCGAGATTCCCAATACAAGATAGATATAAAGAATCAATGCTTGATCTCGAGATTCCCAGCACAAAAGTTTTGACTTTAAAACAATTTTGGAAATAGATCACTTATAAGTAAAAAAAGAGACAGAAAGAAGACAAGAATAATTCCACTGTTTTCTAAATACTACAGTGGTAGGCGATTATATCAATACAATGCAGACGACTTTCGATTTAAATTTTGATTTTTATCAAGCTGTACTCTTTGACTACTTGTAAACTTGTAATTTGAAAAAAGCTTAATACAAAAAAGTCGTCTTCATTGTATTGATATACTTGCCTACCACTGTACTTACTACTAAATATTCACATTTTTTAAACGTGCAGAAAATATTTTTCCAACTTATGTTACCTTGGAATAATTCCCCCAATGTCTGTCCAAAGTGCATTCCCGAGGCAATAAACTTATCCTCAATATCAGAACCCAACTCCTAAATGTCGTCTTATTTTTGTTTTTTAAAAGAAAATTTACAGAAATAAATGGTTAACATATTTATCGATTATTTTAGCGTACCACAGTGTACATTTTCTGCCCTTTTGGTGCGTTCTAATATCTACAGGTTGTTCCAAAAACGTTGAAATATAGCGACGACATGAAATTAGTATTCGATCTCAGAGATATTTATTTGTACGCTAGTACCCCGTGGATTTAACGGTTCTGTCAATATTCCAGAAAGCTGTGACTTTCGTTAACAATTTGACCCATTAAACATAATTTGTAAGTCTTTTTCTTAAATACTTTTTTGTTGGCTGATTCATTTTAAATGAAAATGTATAAAATAAATAAATCCTTAAAGTAAATGATTGTTGAATTATAGACCAAAACACGTTTGATTTCAAATAGAAAAAACCAAATGCTGCTCACTCTGGTTAGTCCGGTGTGGTACAGGGTTATCCACAAAGGATGATATTTTAGAGACGACTGTACGGAATTTATATATACAGTCTGTTTCCTTATGTTCAGGATCCTCTGAAAATGTAAAATTGTTACTTTCTTTTTCAAATCATTTAACAAGCCATTCAAAGACTATATTTGAGACAGAAAACTTTATATACAGGGTGTCCCACGAAACATGACAGTTGGTTAAAATTTTGAATGTCGTCTTCCATACAATGTATTAGATATTAAAGGCTGTTTGAAGCTTATTTCGTTTAAAAAATCTTTTGCTCAAGTATGTTTTACTTTGAAATTAATTTTACTATATAATATGACTCGAATATAATATTTTTATTAATGTCTTTGATATTAAACAAGTTAACAAATAATGGAAGAAGACATTCTAAACTATTTACCAACTGTCATGTTTCGTGGAACACCCTGTAACTACGGGATTTCCATAATATATGAATTTTATATCGTCTTTAAAGTTTCATCTTTTATGGGTAACCCTTGCATACTCAAACTAATAAATTATTATATCTTCTTTACTTGCCAGATTTCCCAAGTGTGGTCGAGCCAGTTTTTTAATGTCGTCTCTAAATTGGTACACCCTGTCTAGTGTACCTGAAACCCTGATTCAGTTCTAGTCCATAAGCTAAAGTTCCAGTTTTTAAGAACACCCCCACACAGTATACGTGGCCATACTTTCAATCTTTTCTCTCCATATTTCTTATCTTCGTCTACATTTAAAAAAATCAAAATTTATCAAAATTAGCTCAATCTAAAAAACCCTCATATGGACTTAAATAACTGAAATCTTCTTAATGGTCTTGTAGACCTATTATATCTCAAACTATGACTTTTGAAGCCGAATTTAAAGAATTTGAGCCGCGGCTCTCAAATATGGTTTGTTCCACTCAAAATTGTATTCAATGTTTCAAGATTTGCCGGCGTTCAATTGAAACCAGTTTTTGGCGAATTCGAGACGCGGCACAAATTCATTAAATTCGGACTCTGCTAGATAAAATAGTTAAAGTTTGAAATCATCAGAATGAATCGATTTAGGGATTAGAAAATTAGAGTTTAATGCGAGTAATCAGAAAGTAATCAATTTCTTTTGAATTAAAATATTGTCTGACGTCAACTAAATCAGAAATTAATTAATGAGACTGTAAGCGTAATTTCAAGCGGCCCTCCTTGCAATGATGGCAACGCCCGATTCACAACGGTACAAAAGTAGCTTGCACATTTATATTGCAGGAAAACATATGGGAACTATCAGAATTAAATACATTTAAACCTTTAGAAAAACGTCAATATCTTTCACATTATTGATCAGATAAATGTTTCCAGGGTACCGTTGTGCATCAGGTGTTGGTATCTTTGCATGAAGGGTCACTTGAAATTACTCTCACAGTCCCTTTAAGCAACTTACTTAGAGAATCATCCAGGAAGCTTTTACAGAGTGGTTCACTTAGAACTGTAATATCAGGTTTCTCTCGGAGTTTACCAAGGTTGGACGGAGCTAGAATATTATTATAGAGTAAATAAGTCATGAATCCTGGACCTGGAACTATCAGATGTTAACGGTAATGAATCTTGAATTAATTATCGTAAATCATCCCTAAGTCTGGCAATTCCAATTTCAATATCTTTGTAATTATTAAGATACAAAGCATTGTAAACTCAGGTTTATTTGAGGTACGCTGCAGCGAACTCTACACGGTCTACAACCTCGGGGTGCAAAGATTTAGGGATCAGAAAATCAGAGTTTGTTACAAGAACTCAGTTCCTTTTACCTTGGAAACATTCCGAACTGCAGAATCCCCAGTTCATGTCTAAAAATTAGTTTCAAAGCAAAATAAAAGGAGCACTCATCAGTTTTGAATGAGAGTAAAGGATCAGGGCTGATTCTTAGCTTAAAGAGATAGGGTTAGAGTATATTAGTTAGAAGAGATTGGATTAGATTAGATAGAGCAGGTCAGATTAGTTCCTATTATTTAAGAAAACGCTGGAGTTGCGCACACTAGGTCAGATTTGGTCAGATTTAATCGGATAAGGTCAAATTAGCATCGAGTAGGTTGGAGCAGGTCATATTAAGACAGATTTGCCTTACATATTATGTTAGAGTAGGTCAGATTTGGTTAAATCAGGTTAGATTAACTTAGAGTACGTAATTTTAGGACAGATTATGTTATAGTAGGTCAGATTTGGTTAAATCAGGTCAGATTAGCATGGATCAGGTCATATTAGGACAGATTATTTAGAGTAGGTCAGAATTGGTAAAATCAGGTTAGATTAGGGCAGATAATGTTAGAGTAGGTCAAAATTGGTTAAATCTGGTCCTATTAGGACAGATTATGTTAGAGTAGGTCATATTAGCATAGAGCACGTCATATTAGGTGCAGATTATGGTAGAATAGGTCAGATTTGGTTAAATCAGGCCATATTAGGATAGAGCACGTCATATTAGGACATTATATGTTAAAGAAGGTCAGAATTGGTTAAATCAGGGCATATAAGCGTGGATCAGGTCATATTAGGACAGATTATGTTAAAGGGAAAACAATTTGACCAGTTCCGGTCAGATAAGAAAATTTTTTAAGCAATTATTATAATTTTACCATCAGTTTTCTTTTGTGAATGGGTGTTATGATAAATATTCTGAGATACTGTACACCATCCGTTAGCAACAAACCCTAGGATTAATAAGTTTTTACCAGGCATATTCAAAACATTTTGATTCCGTATCAACATCGGGTAAATAAAGCAGACACGAAATAGGACTAGCCTGTGCAACAAGGTTGACGCGGTCAGACTTTAGGTTGAATTTACTTTTATTAAAGGGTTAGAGGTGCATGCTGTACCTTCAGCCTGTTCGTGGAGTTCTGATGAATTATCTCTATAGCAGTAGGTTGCCCCAGCGGAAAAGTTCTCCGGATCTTCCAGGATAATGAGTTCCTCTTCTATATCCAGGATATTGTCAGGGGTCATCTCAGAACTAATAATCAATCGTAAATATATGAGATACTACTGAACAAAGTTCAAAACTTTTACTTTATCGATTGATTGATTGATTAGATGAATGATTAATTGGAAGTTCTGTTTATGATTGATTTGTTATTTTGTTCAGGGATCAATTGATCACTAGGTCACTGATTAGTCGGTTGGTTCATCAATTTGTTTAATAGTTGTTTTATTAATTTATTTTTTGAATGATTCATTGAATAAATGACTATTTGGTTAATTAATTGGTTAATTAGTATCCTGAGAAACTCCTGACACAGTTTTGATCTCGGGGCGGGAGCAGAACTATTACATTTATTCTAAACAGTCAAATTCCAGGATAAGTCAAAGAAAGGTCAGGGACAACATTTTAAAAAGTTTTGTTTGCTTTGGATAAATAAATTCAAAAATATTTTTGGAACATTTTTTAAAAAATCAGCGAAAAAATCGTTTGGAAATCTTTATTCTATTGTTTTCCAAAATTTCATAAAGATTCATTAAAAATTAAATGTGATATGACAAAAAATGTAAACCAATTAATTGCATTTTTGAAGTCATAATAGTTCTAAGGTATTAATATTATTTGATAACACTAACTGCAGTTTTTAACTTTGATTTTTTTTTGGATTTTTTGTTATATCTTATTCAAATTTTGATGAAATTTTGGAAAGCAATAGAATAACATTTTCCTAACAATTTTAAAAAAAATTTCATTTAACAAAAAAATTTGGTTTTGCGATAATTTTTTCAATTTTTCAAAAATATTTTTGAATTTTCTCTTATCATGTTTTATTTCTTTTATGCCTTAAAATTTTGGAATTTTTGTCCAAAACAGTGATAATCTTGGTTTTTTTCTCACCCTGCATATCTTGCAATTCCTTTTTTTGAGGATCGCTTTTTTCTAACCTAGTCTTTTTGAGTTATCCAATTACAAAAAATTAAAGTTTTTTTTTTTGATAATTTTTGTAAAGAAAAGTTGAGATGGAAATATCTTAGAAGTTTTGACTTATACATGAAAGCTTGTTACCTGATCACAATAATGAAGTTTAAGTGGTCCTTCTCCTGTAGTTAAACAGCTCTCTTCCCTAGTATACATTCCATACCCAACCAGGATACCAGAGCTTGAGGTATCATTGAAGGATGGACTTGCCAGACATATCTGGTATAGGATATATATAGAGATGAACCAGGATACCAGAGCTTGAGGTATCATTAAAGGATGGTCTTGCAGACATATCTGGTATAGGATATATATAGAGATGAACCAGGATACCAGAGCTTGAGGTATCATTAAAGGATGGACTTGCAGACATATCTGGTATAGGATATATATAGAGATGAACCAGGATACCAGAGCTTGAGATATCATTGAAGGATGGACTTGCAGACACATCTGGTATAGGATATATATAGAGATGGACCAGGATACCAGAACTCAAGATATCATTGAAGGATGTACTAGCTAAACATATCTGGTATATGATCTATACATAGAGAGGAACTAGGATACCAGAGCTTGAGATATCATTGAAGGATGGACTTGCAGACATATCTGGTATAGGATATCTATAGAGAGATGAACCAGGATACCAGAACTCAAGATATCATTGAAGGATGTACTAGCTAAACATATCTGGTATAGGATCCATACATAGAGAGGAACTAGGATACCAGATCTCATGATATCATTGAAGGAAGGAGTAGCCAGACATATCTGGAATAAGATATAAGAGGACTCCGCCACACTGAGGTCATGAGCTTGGTTCTGGAAAAATTACTATTTGACAATAAGGAGTTTATGTGGTTCATGAATGTGCCAAACAAAGATCGGACCAATAAAATTTCAAGGTTATATTCAATATAATTAATATTGTGGTTGAAAATTCATAATTTTCATTTTGTTTAGATTTTTGGTACCTAAACCTAATTCAAGTTCAGAAATTGACTGAGCGGCTATTGTCCAAACCTATGAAGAACAAATTAAACTGGATTTAAATAGATTCACTGGCCATGTTTTTTTTGGATGGGAAAGTTTTGATATCAAATAAACAGTGAACAATGTTTGCCGAAGAATTATGGTTTTCAACTTCTGCTATTTGATTTATTTTTTTTTTGCAAAAAGCTAAAAATGTCAATTCAGACCAGGAAGAGGATCAAGTTTTGTAAACCAGCCTCTTGGAAAAAACATAATAGCTGTGGCTTCACATGAGGTTACTAGAACTTTTGGTAAACCAAATCTTGCAGATTATACTTTCCATTCATTCAAAAGGTCATCAGATACTACTGCTGCTGCAGACGATGGAGCCTCAGCTCAACCATTAATTAGTTTCTATGGCTGTAAATCTGTTAATATGCCTCAAGAATATATATCAACTAGTAAACGTGCAGTGATGAATATGGCTTCTCTATAAGTATACCCAGCTGCATCTACAGTTGAGAACTCTATAAATGTTGAGATTAAAACTTCTGAAACTACGGAGAATCCTGCTGATAGTGAACTAGAGACATCTCTTGAACCTAACCCATCAGCTAGGAAAGGATCTTCGGTTCAGCAAAAATCTGCCTTTTCGGGCACAGCAGGATCTTACAAGATAACTAAAAATGACAATGCTGTCATGATTCACTTCTTTAATGGAACCATTATTCGTTGAAAAATAACATTACTGTATCTATATTTTCTTTCTATATAACCTGATTGTAATAAAGTTTGCTATAGCATTTACTATGATGATTGAAATTACTAGCCAGGATATAATATTGGCAGCAGGGACGTAATAAATATTATATCCCTGCTGAGAATATTTCATCTCGGCTCAAGTGATTTTATCCCGGCAGCCAAGAAATAAAAATTAATACGTCGTTATTTTCCGTGATTTTTTCAAAAAATGGTTGATTTCGTTTATTTGTTCGTTAACGGCGTTTGCCGTTACTTTTAAAAACAAACGTTGCCCAGCTACATACAGCACATATTGTAAAGATTCTTCATAAATTGGCATTTTTATAGAAAATATATTATACCTTTATTTTTGAGTGAATAATAACTGTTTTCTCTAGGTATATTAGCGATATATCATAGCCTCCAAAACTTCCATAACTTCCTCGTTTAGAATCAAAATCTTCAGTAACTTCCACATTCCTTTAGTACAGTTATCAAATATACAAAAAATAGTAATATCTGTTTTTAATGCCCGATCATAACCCAGAAGCATCTTGACTGATTTGCCTCAACTATTATAATTTGAAATCTCAGTAGAACCACGGAAATGTTCCTACTTAAGTTTAAAAATTGTAAGTTGATAGGGTTGACAATAATAGGGAAAACTTTGTTTCCAGGCAAATCTGGGTTCCAAAGCTAGTATGGATACAATGCAGTAACCTCCAAGGGTGTAATGCAAGTTAATTGCGGTCGCGTATACTCTGCGACATATTGAAACCAGTTCTCTCTGGGCGGTGTTTGTAAACAAGAATAGATGCATCAGTGTTCTTTTAGTATCCGAGGAGGTTAAAAGCATTAAATTTGATAATTTTGATAATTCAAATAATAGTTTCATATGACCAGAATATTTCATTGATTTTTGTATGTGAAAAATGGATCCAATGTCAGGCGGTAACATCCGTCTTGTGTTTACATTACCGCCAAGAGACAGTACACTGCAGTACAAAAGATGCGTACACTTCTGAAATAACTTTCTTTGCATTACATCTTTGGTAACCTCCACATTTCTTCAGTTAAATTGATTTAAAGTATACATCTAACAAAAGATGCTATGTGAAATGGTTAAAGAATTTTTTCGTAATCTTTTTGAGTTGCATTAAATCATTTCCATAATACAGTGCAGTATAGGTAACCATAATTAGCCTTGTACAAAAATACAGTACATTGGTTTTAGATTTAGATTGAACAAAGCTGAAAACTTTAAAATTGTGGATATCGAGATCAATGCTTGATCTGCTCTTTCATTAATGGATTGTTGTAATCTTACATTAAATTTCAGGAAAATGTCTAAAATGCAACCAATCAGAGTGTCGATTGTAAAAGCCGAACAGCAATGAGAGAACTCTCCCCATCAGACATATCCAAAAGAGAGGATTTCGCAGAAAATCAAAAGTGTCCACAGTGGATATAGAGATTTAACAATCTTGATTAAGGGACAAGTGTATCCAATACAAGAGTTTTCAGATTAAATATAATTCATAGAATTAAGGATGAAATAGCAAAGAGCACTGAGCAATGTTTAAGAAGAAATCAACTTACTTCATAGAGTACAGATGTTTAACAATTATCTTCCCAGATAACTATAAGAAAATAGTTTAATATTTGAAAAAAAAATTTTACAATTATTATCTTTTAAACCTTAACTCCTGAGTTTGTCAGTTTGTTTAGTACATCAGTATATCCAATCCATAGTTGGGGTTTACCCTTGGTTGGTTCTATCACGTAGGCATTCTTATCATTCAACCTAGTGCACTTAGCAGTGTATTCGTCATCCTAGAAAAATATTTAATTCTGACAATTTCCTTCATTGTTTCCGTAGCATAAATCTTCAAATCACTTTTTATATTAAAGAAAAACATAATGGAAAATGATTGGTTCTAAGCTAGAAAACCCATTGATGTCATATTTATTATTGTGCAGACAGAGTTTAAAAGGACTCTTTCCAACAAACGTTTCAGTTTCAGTTAAAAAATTAAATTAAACAATATTAGTCCTGTACCCCCTTTTTAATATTTGTGAACACCCCCTTTACTGAAAGTGACCTCATATTCTCCGTTCTGCATAGTTTGTTTGACACATTCCTCCTCTCCATCATAATACTTAGTAAAGGGTTGGTAGCAATGAGCAGCAGTGAGAACCCATCTAGGAATATTTCTAGTTGAAGATGCTGCAAACCAATTTCAAGTGACCCTCCCGATTCCCAATGGAAGCCTTTAAACCTTTGTTTAAGCAAAAATCATAGAGATATTCTTGTTTTTCTGTAAGAAAATTAATGGAGTTTTGTTCTGGTTTCCTCGTTGTTAATCAGATAATGGTTCAAAGGGTATCGATGTGAATAGGGAACTCTCAAAATTGAGACAGCTTTACGAAAAGATAATTTGGCAACTATTAATATGTTAAAGAACACAGTTGTTAACCATTAACTTTAAGACTCCGGATAATGTCGTCTTCAACGTAAAATTTCCTCTCGGAGACAGGCCAAACCAAATTATTTCAGCCCGCATATTCTTTGTTCTTTGTCCCACAGAACTTCAACCATTTTCGTTATTGTGAAATCATTAAAGTTAAGCAAAATATTTTCATAAGAAGCATTAGTGAATTTCGTTAAATATTCAACTGTAATTTTTCAGAAGTTAAAAAAACGTATTTCAATACTGATCAACAATAAGCCACCCCCGACCATCCCTAAATAATTCGTAAGATTTTTTCTACTATTAATATTCATTATAACATTGTACAAGTAACCATGACCTATAATTTATGTTATTTTTTAGGAAATAAAGATTTTGTTATCGAATTTCTGAGACGGGGTTACTCTGTTGTGTGTATTTGTGCGGCCTATCGGGAAAGAATTGTCCGGGGAAAATAAACATCCCCCACCAGAATCCTAACCGGCCTATTATCCTGATTTGTCTAGCGTGTTGCTGTTTTCCGTCAACAACAGTATTTAACTACAAGTAAAGACCAAATCCTTAGTTTATTATTCCTAAAGTGTGTTTTTTTTTTACATTTTTCAAATATATGAACTGAAAGACTTGAAATTGTACCCCTAAAAGAAAGGAAAGCAAGGATATTGTTTTGGTGCATTAAAGAGTTTCAATTATACCCCAAAATACATTGAAACCTAATTATTACCTAGGATGAAAGAGAACACCACTACAAATACGTTTAGGACGCTTCCAATCTGTCTCTTCGTCTCCTTAATGTTAAAATTACAATATATTTGGAAAACAGGGGCGTACTCAGGGAGGGGATCCAGGAAACCACGATCCAGGGGGGAGCTGAACCCTAATAGCCCCACCTGATTAAGCCTCTGAATTGGTTAAGAATCTCTTTTCACAAGACACAAAATAGATTATCAAGTACAATAGGTGGCAACAAAGAAATGGGCAAATTATACATGTCGTCACAAGTTTTAAATAGAGAACATTTTCTTCCATTGCCATATATTGTACTTCTTAATATATTCGCAAGACACTATATACAGTTAGAAAAATCAGTCAACGAGAAGCGTATGCAATTGAAGACTAAATACGTTAGTTAGTGACATATTTTATTTGAAATAATGCCTGAAAACTATGCACAATTAGTCCTTGAAATTGTACCAGCATTAAAGGGAGTGTTCGCGAAAAATGAAAGTGGGTATAAGCTTAATGCGGTAAAAAAAGCGCTTTTGATCATTACTAATCTTACTTCTATCTGTTGCGTCTATAAGGAGAAAATTGTTAAAAACAACTAATACCGAAGAACGTAGTGTCCATACAAATTCAGAAAGATGCAACATTCAACTCGGATCGTTAACAAATCAATTTAATTCCAAACAAATCATTCAGATCTTACAAATAATAGTCATCGATTTTTTTTCGACGCATTCGTAAATAGTTGATATTTCAAAATAGTTTGTATGTTTATGATCTGAGAGTTACTTTTTAAAACATTTATTCCTGTTTCGAGGATTTTTGTTAATGAAGACGACATTTTCATATTTTCCAGGAATGTTCGAAAATCCAGCGCCAGCGAAAATTATTAAAAAACAAAATCAAAATTAAGACTGATAGTAAAAATTAAAATCCACGATTACCCTTGTAGTTCGGAGACAGTGCGACGGCAAACGGATAATCGGAAGGAGTTACTGCTGTTCCTCCGATTAATCTCAATCCGTCCTCGTTCATCTGGGTTTCGTCATACTCCATGTATTCATATTCTACTTGGAGCGTATCCTATAAGATAATTAAAAGTTTAAACCAGTGTTAATGTGTACATTTGATGTTATTTACTTTTCAATGGCATTTTTCCCTAGCGGCAACTTCCCAAGGGTATTTGCCCAAGTGACAATTTCCCAAATGTTCAAATTCCCAAGCGGCAACTTCCCATGTCTGTACTAGCTGCGGAGCTCGGCCCCCCAGTCTGTTCTAGCCCATCATAGCCAAATTGCTCTGCCCCCTATTGTAGCCTGGGGCGCCCAGAGGGCCTAACCTAACCTTTAGGAAGATGCCGCTTGGGAAATTGCACATTTAGGAAGTTGATAATTTGGAAGTCGCCCTGGGGAAAATGGATTTAAGAAAGTTTTTTAAGATAATTCTAATGAATAAGTAATTATAATATTTGTTAAGATAATTCTTAGGAATTTTTTTGTATTTTTAAATATCAAAAATTGGATTTGACTTCCCTCCTCAAGCAAAGGATCTGAGTCTTTGCCACAAACTTTGATTTGCTAACCCCTTATCTTTGAAATCCAATACACGTGAGCCTTTATATATTTCAAACTATGAATTTTAGTTAAATTAAATATTCTAAGCTTCAAATAAATATCAAAGGTTTGCATCAGCAGATTGCAAAGAAATGGAATTGGAAAATTTGAGTTTGTGTTTCGAAGACTCAATCCATAGACAATTTATTCGAAATATCAAAGGTTTAATTGCTAAGATATAGAAATCAATAAATAAGAGTTTAGGCGAATACTTTTATTTCTAATTATCATATTAGTAGTTAACATATTTCAGAAAAGGGAAATAAATCTTACTTAAAAATTTTAATGCTTTGAGATTTGGGTTTAATTCTAGAGCAAATGAGCTAAATTAAACTATTTCTGACCCCTAAAAGTCAACTTCTTTAAAAACAGTTTAGCTTACTTGTGCAATAAGTCAACTAATTAGGGAACTCAACCGTTACCAGCGAATTTACTATCAAATTCACTCTTTCTTCAAATCAACAATATCGCTATTTTTTTGTAATTTGTAACATTTTTTATCTTTAAAAATGATTATCGAACATTTTGTTGTCTAATTTTAACTGTTAATATATAACACACTGACACAGGGGCGCAGAAAATAACTTTTCCATGGAAGCTTAACCTTTTTTGACATTCCAAGGGGGTGGGCCTCCCCCTAATAATCACTTCTCGACAGGGGGGGGCTTAATCCTCAAAGCCCACGCCCTGTATACGCCTCTAGACTAACATTACTTACATTTTCTATATTATTTGAAGTACGATTGGATTGCGCTGCATAATTAGGAAAAACTGTGAAAAAGATCAGATAGACATTAATCATTTTATTTAATCCGTGTCTTCACTCTTCTCTTATTACATCTTCAACAAGATACAGTTCATTAAATAATAAAACTATATCAAAATAATTTGTTTTGTAATTTTATACCCTTGTCAGTCATTTATCATGAAATAAGAATTAATACTCAATAAAATGTCGTCTTCCGATATCTGTTTTTGTTTGAATAATTAACATTTATTTTTTAAACAACAATAGAATAATTAGAGGGAAGATTTTTCATTTCACAAAATTCCATATCGATTATTTTGTGTTCAGGAATAAGGATTAGTCTATGGTCAAACTGTTAGATAAAAAGATTTCAAATTGAAATGTCGTCTTACTTATTCTGAAAACAGAACCAGTGAATAAGGATCTTTATCAAACAGGGAGAGCGAGAGGAAAAAGAAAAAGAAAAATTTATCTGAGTATACAAATGAACAAAATTAAATAAAAGTGAGAAATGAAAAAGACGACGAACGTAGAAAGGATATTCACACATAGAAGGAGAAAATAGCTTTTGATCTAAAAATAGAAAAGAAAGGATAAGTTAAGAAATGCAGGTAAATATTGATAACAGAAGATTAAACGAAGAAAATTGCAAGAGAAAATGAATGCAAATGGAGGGAAGTATAGAAAGAAAAATGCATTAATGCAGGCGCAGATAACTGGAAGAAAAAAGAACAATATAAATGTAGATAGCCGGAAGAAAAGAAAGGGAAACGGACGATTGTATATAGAAGGATAATTGTAGAAAGAATGAAGAAAAGAAAGAAAATTGATAAATGTAAATAGAAGGAAGGAAAGAAAGAAACATGGATAATTGTAGATATAAGGAAGAACAGAAAGAAACATGGATAATTGTAGATAGAAGAAAGAAAAGAAAGAAACATGGATAATTGTAGATATAAAGAAGAAAAGAAAGAAACATGGATAATTGTAGATAGAAGGAAGAAAAGAAAGAAACTTGGATAATTGTAGATATGAGGAAGAAAAGAAAGAAACATGGATAATTGTAGATAGAAGGAAGAAAAGAAANGTTGACTGGTTCGATATAAGGAAGAAAAGGAAGAAACATGGATAATTGTAGATATAAGAAAGAAAATGGATAATTGTAGATATAAGGAAGGAAAGAAAGGAAATGGATAATTGTAGATAGAAGGAAGAAAAGAAAGGAAATGGATAATTGTAAATATAAGGAAGAAAAGAAAGGAAATGGATAATTGTAGATATAAGGAAGAAAAGAAAGGAAATGGATAATTGTAGATATAAGGAAGAAAAGAAAGAAACATGGATAACTGTAGATAGAAGGAAGAAAAGAAAGGAAATGGATAATTGTAGATATAAGGAAGAAAAGAAAGAAAATTGATAAATGTTGATAGAAGGATAATGGATAATATGTAGAAAGAATAAAGAAAAGAAAGAAAATTGATAATTGTAGATAGAAGGAAGAAAAGAAAAAAATGGATAATTTTAGATAGATGAAAGAAAAGAAAGAAACATGGATAATTGTAGATAGAAGGAAGAAAAGAAAGAAACATGGAAAATTGTAGATAGAAGGGAGAAAAGAAAGAAACATGGATAATTGTAGATAGAAGAAAGAAAAGAAAGAAATATGGATAATTGTAGATATATTGAAGAAAAGAAAGAAACATGGATAATTGTAGATAGAAGGAAGAAAAGAAAGAAACATGGATAATTGTAAATTCATATATAAAGTTATTTATGTTCACAAATTATACGCAGTACATCACAATAATACAGTATGATCCCAGAGCCCAAAACTTAAGACAGAGTATCGTAATGAAAACCAGTTTTAAAACCCGGGTTTCGCGAATGGGGTTAGGCAGTTTTGTGAATATCAATATTCTTTTAATGAAATATTATTTTTTTCAAGTTGTTTATATTCTCCATTTTTTTCGAATCTCTTAAATCAAAATCTACACAAATGCTAAGACCCCAGAAAAGAAACTCGGTAGTTTCGTTCAACGATACTCTTTTAAATTTCGGGCTCTGGACGTATCCGTTAGAATTTCTTCTTTTTTTTAAATTTTATGCTGAAATGAACTCGGGAATGTAAAGTAAAGCTTATGCTAAAAGGAATTCGGGAATCAATGACAGGTTGTCAGAGAATTGATTTAGAGAAAATTAAATAATTTTCAAGAAAGGTTTGTCTATAAAAAGATGGTTCAGGGCCCAAACGGTTATACAGGGTTACTAACAAAAGATGAGACTTCAGTGACGATTGTACAGAATTTACACTGTCTGTTATATTTATGATTCCCTGCAACTGTAAACTTGTTTCTTTTTTTCTAATCATTGAATAAGCCAAAAACAGATTATATTCAAGGCAGAAGACTTAATTTAACCTCGGAATCGTCAAATGTAAAGAATACAGTCAAATCCTTTGTGGGTAACCCTGTATAAAACAAATGTGTGAAGTACACATGCAGTATGGAAACAGTACAACAAAATGGCGGTTTTACACTTTTTCGACTTAATTCCACTCTATGTACTTATCTATTCTCTTGCAAACCATGTATCCTAAATCTCCTGTCTATAGTCCCTCAGCATATTTGCTAATCGTGTTAAGGACGCACATGCTCGGAAAATTGATGAGATCTGGAGCAAATTGAAAAATCAATACAACACCAACAGGATTCAACAGATTAGAACCGGGTATTACAAGTTTCAATATCATATTTAATACAGTGCTAACCAGAAAACTCTGAAATAGGAAGACGACATTATAACATACTTGGATGTATTTTATGCTTTTACAAAGCATACAGTTTTACTGGACACTTATTAAATCAGTGAAATAGGTCTTGATACATTACAAAATTGTGATATCCAATGCTTATTGTAATTTGAACTACAGTGATAGTCTTAATTAGCCGGAATAATGTAAATTGACTGATAGTTCATAGTCGTCTTTGAACTTAGAAATAGTTTGCGGCCTTCAACATTTGTAACCTGATTTTAGCAATATATTTTTATAGAACAAATATCACAGAATAGTCCTAGTCCTGTTATTTCTAAAATGTGGTCTGCCATTAAAGTGCTTTTACAATTACCGGAGATATCAATGATTTCGTTCATAATGGACACTTTCATGGTTTTTTACATTTATTAAAACTTTTTAAAAAATTCTTATATTGCTAAAATCAGGTTACCAATGTTGAATGCCGCAAACTATTTCTACGGTCACAGACGACTTTAATGTATCAATTAATTAACATCATTCCGGATTATTTAGACTATCACTGTATTTCGGAGTTCACTGTATACTTCGAAAATAGTTTTTTTTGTATAAAATGGACTATATAGATATATGAAGACCAGAAACAAACCAATAACTCCAAAGCATATCTGAAGCCACACATTAACATTTATGGTTCGGTTCGGTTGTTCCGAAAAAAGTGAAATGTTCTGAAAAGTTTAATATTGTATCAACTGATGTTTATTTAGCTCCTGCAATAAAGGTTGGAAATTAGGTTTACACGTGACACAAATATCAGGGTTTTCTACAATATTAACTTTAATAGTATCTTATATCTTATAATGCATTATGCAATTATTCATGTTATGCTTAAAAGTATTTTTACCAATGGTGATAAAAGTTGGAATAACTGTAGCAAAAATAGAGGCCTATTGTAATTTACGTCGTACCTTGTTCATATAGTAATTGCGCAAATCATGTATTGCGATTAACCCATTCCATGTACGTAGATATACTCATATTGTGATTGTTAGCTACTTTATATACATAACAGTGCATAACTTGTAATTACGTTGTTAATGAAACCCTGTTTTATAATCAGGTGGAATGTCCCAATCATTTGGGATCGATGTATATAGCTTGTTGTATAGCTAGGCTTGTGTGGCATAGCACTGAAACCCTGTATTGATATAACCAGGTGGATCGTCCCCATCATTTGGGATTGATATATAGCTTGTTGGAAAGCTAGGCTTGTGTCCCTCTGTGGCATTTAGAGCACTGAATTGATTAAAAGCTTGTTGGATAGCTACGCGTGTGTCACTGTGTGGCATTTAGAGCCAGGTAGGTTGTGTCCTGGTTGACTTTGATAGAGGACAGGTGGGACCTGGATAGATACGTTTCAAGAACTTGTTATGGAGTAGGTGTTTACTACAAAACTGATGGCAGCGATGTGAATCAAGGAACCTAGATTATATGTAAATGCCTAGACCTCCAAGGAAGACAAATCAAGTGATTTACTGGTTTAGCGTGGTACTGAGAAAAACAAGACTAGGATATATTTTCGAAGACAAGACAGCAACAGCAACACTGGATACTGTGTAATCATTTTACCCTAGGCTACCACCTAGTTACGGCAGTTCAGAAATAGAAATGAGCATGGCAGAAGCAGGAAAATCCACCAACAGCAGAGTTACAATTACAGTTAGTAATGCTAAGAATGGAGCAAATGGAGCTGGATAAACTAGCTATGGAGGCGAAAATTGGAGCAATGCAGAGAGACAAAGAAGAGGAAAAAATGAAGAAAAAAAACAAGAATCATTAGTGCAGACATGGGATAACAATGCAAAGCCAGGATCCATTTGCAACAGTATGAGCGATGCTGGAGAAACCCAAGGTCACAGATGCAAACCAAAAGAGTAAGGAATACCTGGACATAAAGGTTAGAAATGGAGAGGCAAATGAGAAACTAGGTAAATTTGAAACTACCCTTAAGAAAAGAGTCCTAGCTTTTATAGAAAAGGTTCCACCATATGCCGGAAATCCAAAAGAAGTGTTTACCTGGTGTGAAAAATTGGAAAATCATTTGTCGAATCATGAGTGGCAAATAATACCAGACGAGGGAATAAAAAGAATGTTGTAGGTGTGTATAATGGGAGGGGCCAGACAGGAGATAGTACTGTTGCAGCCTACAGGAGAAGGGATAGTATTTGATACATATAGAACGGGAGAGTTCTTGGAGGAATTATTGAAGAAAGGAGTTGATTCTTAGCCACAAACTCTGATTTTCTAATCCCTATATCTTTGAAACCCAATGTCGTAAACCTTTGATATTTCAAACTTATAT